GCGGATCACGAGGTCAGCAGATCGAGACCATCCTGGCTAACACGGCGAAACCCTGTCTCTACTAAAAAATACAAAAAACTAGCCAGGCGAGGTGGCGGGCGCCTGTAGTCCCAGCTACTCGGGAGGCTGGGGCAGGAGAATGGCCGGAACCCGGGAGGCGGAGCTTGCAGTGAGCTGAGATTGCGCCGCTGCACTCCAGCCTGGGCGACAGAGCGAGACTCCGTCTCCAAACAAAACAAAACAAAAAAAATTTCCTTTTTAGCTAAAATATATCAAATACTATCACTTCATCAAATCATCATTACAAAATTATTAATAACCTATATTTTACTCATTTTTTATATGAAGTCTTTAGAATACGTTATATATTTTACGCCTGTTGTCCATCTGCATTTGGACTAGCCACTTTTCAAGTACTCAGTTGCCACCAGAGGTTGTACCGTGTAGCTCTAGGGCAGGGGTTAGCACACTTTTTCTGTGAAAAGTCAGATAGAAATATTTTAGGTTTGTGAGACACAGTTTCCATTGCATTCTATTGTCTCCTTTATTTTTGTTTCTGTTTTTAAAGATACTTTTACAAATATAAAAGCCATTTTTAGTTCATGCATGATACAATTACAGGCTGCCTCAGGCTATGATTTTCAGTCCCTGCTCTAGAGGATGAAAATCAGCCCTTCTGAGGGTTCTCTAACTTCTATGCTAAATCCTGCCTGCTTCTAGTAGCAAGAGTCGCTTCTGTTTTCTACAATTGAATTTGGCAAATTTATACAGAACATTACTCACCTTGTTCTACAGTGTAAGGAAACGGAGACTGCAAGACTTTAAGCAACTTTCCAAGGTCATCTACCTTCTAAGCGACAGAACTAGAAAGAGAATCCATAACTGCTCAACTCCAAAGCTGACAATTTCATCCGCCGCATCATTGGCTCTCCATTATTATTAAGACTTTCTTTAGCTTGAGTAATGAACCTTCACTGATCCATCTATTTAGCTTACAAATATTTATTGAATGACAACTATGCACAAGATATGAATAATAGGAGCATTGCCTTTGACCCACATTTAAGCACATTTTTTAAAAGGCTCAAGTTTGCTATCAATTTATGAGATACAAAATGAAGTGGAAAACTGACAATTATTTGCTTACTTCAATCAACATAGACAGCAAGTCAGATAATTCAGACTTGATCCAGTTAACCCCAAATTGGCAGAGATACAAACATTTCATGTTCTCTGTCTTAATCTGTTTTGTGTTGCTATAACAGAATACCTGAGACTGGGTAATTTATAGCAGAAAGGAATTTACTGGATCACAGTTCTGGAAGCTGAGAAGTCCAAAACAGAGGGGCCACATCTCATGAGGACCTTCTTACTGTGTCATTCCATGGCAGAAAGCAAAAGGGCAAGCAAGAGAGGGCAAAACAAAGAGAACAAGAGAGGGCCAAACTTGGCTTTTATGACAAACCTACCCTCGATAACAAACTTACTCTGACGATAACGACATTCATCCATTTGTAGGTTAGAGCTCTCATGATCTATGAATTGCTTCTTAAAGACCCCACCTGTCAGTATGATTGCACTGGGGGTTTAAATTCCAACACATGAACTTTTTAAGAGAAACATTCGAACCGTAGCGTTCTCAATTTTTCTAATTCAAATACTTATTTAGCTTCAGACATAAGGAGGAACTAAAATAGATACAGAATCAAGCAGTTACAGGCTACATTTAAAATAACATTATGGATTGATCAGTCCTTAGGCTAATATGTTAGCTTATTTTTTTTTTTTAGCACATTTACTTAGCCGCATGCTTGTTCACTCCCGCTAGTTTTTGGCAGTTGTCCTCCAACACTTATGCCTTTCCTAATATACTGCAAGTGGGTCACTTATTATTTCTCTTTTAAACATTTAATAATGTCCCATATCTTAAATTGGTTTCTCTTTGGACAAGCCATCCATTATCAATCCTTCCTGAAATTGCAATTAAAATACAAACTAGATATTTATGATGATGTACGATATTCTTCATTTAAAACTCCCGAATAAACCTCTTTCTGTTCAATGCCTCTACTACCCATAATGATACATATGAGCTACACTGGATCATCTCCTTTGAGAATATTGATGAGCTTATGTTCATCTATGGGACTCCCATTATGTTCAAAGTAGTGGTATCCAAAGGGTAAAATTCCTAGTATGTATGAATAAATAATATATTTTATAAGGGAAACCAAGGATTCTTCTCTCATTTTGATTTTCCTTTTCAATTCATGTGGCAACTGACATTATTTTTATTATGGGCTATAGCTTCCTCCATAACAAATAGATGTATTGTCAGGTTGGTTCTAGAGATTTTGGGAGTACCTGTCTTCTCTGGAAAGGTTACAAATACCCGGATTGAGGACTGGGAGCTTGAGCCAGAACTCCATTAGCTTTAGGGTGATTTCAGTGTATGTCTGAAGAATGAGTCCAAATGGAATAATATTTGTTTCTGGTACTGTTAAGTCAGGTCCGAAACTTTTTTTCTTACATCAAGATGGGGGAAGGAAGTGCCAATACCAGGAGAAAAAGAAAAAAAATCTATTCCTCAAAGGCTGAGAAGGAAATTTAGGAAAGCTCCAAACCATTAACTGGGGATACTAAGAAAGCAGGTACTTAAAATCTTTTGATTTAATTATTTAAAAAAATGACTTTATTCATCTAAGTTGTGAAATAATTTTCATTAGGAATATAATAAGTGTTAATAATAATTTGATCGGAATGGCATAATTCAACAACTAAAAGGTGAAATCAAGGGTTGAACTGACTTTTCAGTATGCATGTATACATACGTATATGTTTGTATGTATACATATATTTTTAATTAAATGCTGAGAAATTACAGAGAGAGACAGAGCTATAGCAATTGAAATCATGTTTTTATCATTCTCGTCTTCTTTTGCAATATAAATGAAGATTGAAAAAATTTTAGTAGACTAGTTGGCCATGAAATGGTTTGTTTTTTATGCATGTTTACTAAACTCACACATTTAAGAAAATATCTTCAGGCTCTTCAACCTATTCGATTTTTCTTTTTAATTATTGGGTGAAAATGCTTATGAACAATTTACAATGTCAATTGACAGCCTCCATGTGAATGGTTTATCTCTCTCACATTAATATGTGCAAAGTATTATTGCTCCCTCTTATGCATATCTAGCAATACCAGCATCTTAGGGATGTTCAAAAAGGTGTAAAGTTAAGGGAAGAGTTTCCGCTGAATTAAAAAATATTTGTGTATTATTTTTATGTTACTGAGATTTATTATTAAATTTGCTTTCCAACATTGCTTTCTAATTACTCCAAGCTTTCAAGAAGCCAAAACTTTGGAAGCTATGGTAATAAGCCGTTTTTAATATACCCAAAGAACAAAATAGGTATGTGTGAAGGTAAGTGCAAAACTTAAAAGTAATTTGCTGTTACCCTTTCTCTGAAGCAAAAAAGCTCTGAGTTTGAATCCTGGTGCATCCTGTTTTTGAGTGGACAAGTTATCTAACCTTTTGCACCTTTCTAAATCTCTCTAAAATTGTTGTGAGAATAAACATACATAATTTCATGTATACATATATTACCTTACAAAAATAAGGCACTGAAAAAATGATTTTTTATGTGTTAACCGGAAAAGTGTGATTATAAGGACAGGAAGTGGCATCTAAATCTGTAAGTATACGGATGCTCTTTTTCTGTAGTAGACATAGGCTGTTTTATATTTTCCTAAGCCACAACAAATGTAAAATAAGTTCATATGTATGAAATTATAGTTGACTCTTCAACAACATGGAGGTTAGGGTTGCTGATGCCCCATGTAGTACAAAATGTTCATATAACTTTTGACTCCCAAAAAACTTTTCTAATAGCCTACTGTTGACTGGAAGACTTACTGATAACATCAATAGTCAATCAATACACCTGTTGTATGTTATATGTATTACATACTGTATTCTTACAAGTAAGTAAGCTAGAGAAAAGAAAATGTTAATAAGAACATGAGTGAGAGAAAACACATTTATTATTCACTACGTGGAAGTGGATCATCATACAGGTCTCTATTCCTGTCATCTTCACAGTGAGTAGGCTGAGGAGGAGGAGGAATCGGAGCAGTTGTGGCAGAGGCAAAAGAAAATCTGCGTATAAGTGGACCTGCACAGCTTGAATCCATGTTGTTCAAGGGTCGACTGTATTTTAAATACAGGTCAATTGCCTAAGAGTTAGGATAGCCAGCACTGTTGAACAGGGACAGGTAGGATTCTGTGTAATGCAGAGAACTCTATCTCTAGCAATTTTAAAGATAATTCACAAAACAATTTGCATTTGCATTTTTCTAACACTTACCTTTTAGAAATGATGGTGTGTATCCATAAATTCAAGAAACAGTTTATTACAGTGGTTAGAGCATAAACTTTGAAAGCAGCCAGTGATGTGCCAGAATCAGCACTTGAGATAATTATTAACTAAATATTCAGATACTGCAAACCTGTAGTTAAACTATGGGTAGCTTGAAATTGGCCATGGTGGAGCATTTACACGGTGGAAATTGACAAATGCTATCAATCTAGGTCTCCCTTGCAACTACCACCTGGTTTGCCAGAAACTACTGATTCAGATATACATCTGTTTAAATGCCAACTTTAACACTTAATAGTTTATAGCCTTTAGTATCTTATCTTGCCTTCCTTTCTTGCAACTCCCAGATCTAGAAAATGATATAATTATTTATAGTCACAAGGTAGCTTTGAGGATTAAGTTAACTTATATAATCATCCAGTGCACATTCAATAAATGGTGGTCATTTTAATAAGCCAAAATCATAAAAAAGACAACAAGAAAGAGAAAATCAAAAACTAAAGGAATAACCTTCTGAGAATAGTGAATTTTTGCTGCATTAACAGATATCATTAGGCAAGAGATTCTAGATCCATAATAGAGAAAAAAAAATCCACTCCAGTTAATGCTTCACTCACCATGAAGAGACTGTTCGGTGTTTGTTCACTCTCTCCAAAGGGTGGGATAGGAGAATCAGTTCTACTAGACTTGTTTTCTTGGTTAGCTTGTTGCTCTGGGATTGGCTCATATAAGCTATCCATAGAGCCTTCCTGCAACAGGAAGATGTATGAGTCAAGGAATAACAGAATAATAATTTTCCTTGAAAAGATACCTAATTTATCCACCCACCTTTTTATAGTACTTTATTTAAATTATCCTGGGGATATGATTAAGAGTTTACAAGATGCTAATTTTCAACAGTGAACAATACAGTGAAGCCAGGAATTATTACACAGCCAGGAATTATTGTTCCCACCATTATTACAGAGCCAAGAATTTAAACAAGAGTCTAAGTGTTGCAGAGGCAGGCACACAATGAGGGAATTCCTCAAGAGGTATGTTGAAGACATGAAGTTCGAAAAACTAAATAAATGCCTATTTGAGACACCAGTAAACTGTGTTGGTCACAGATTTGAGTTACATGTATGTCTCTAATTGGTACCACCTCCTTTTATAAGAAATACAATCTGGTGATCTTAGTTTTCTCAACTGTAAAGTAGCAGTTTCTAGGGCAGAGGACGCGAAGCAAGATGACAGAATAGAAAGTTCCGGTGATCGTTTCCCCACAGCAAGGACCCCAAGTTAGCAACTATCTACACAGAGAAACTACCCCCTCATAAGAATCAAAATTCAGGTGAGCACTCCTAGTACCTGGTTTTAACATCAAATCACTAAAAGAGGCACTGAAGAGATAGAAAAAACAGTCCCGAATCTCCGACGCCACTCTTCCCCTACCCTGGCATCTGCGGCCTGGTGTGGAGAGCATCTCTGGGCTCTGGGGAAGGGAGAACACAGCCATTGTGAGGCATTGAACTTAGTGCTGTCCTGTTAGAGAATAAAAAAACCCAGACCAAACTCAGTTGATGCCTAGCCATAGAGGGAGCATTTAAACCAGCCCTAGCCAGAAGGGAATCTCCGATTGCAATGGTCCAAACTTGAGTGCCTGCAAACCTTGCCGCCCACGGCTACAGCACTCTATGTCTCCAGTAAACTCAAAAGGCAGTCTAGGACACAAGGACTGCAACTCCTGTGGGCGTCCCAGTGTGAACTAAGCTCAGAGACTGTAGACTGAGGGGGCATGTGACACACTGAGACACTGGTTGGGGCAGCCAAGGGAGTGCAGGCATCACCCTGCCCCTAACCTCAAGTTGCATAGCTTGAGGTTCCAAAAGAGACCCCTTCCTGCTGCTTGAGGAGAGAAGGAAGTGTAGGGAGGCCTTTGTCTTGCATCTAGGGTACCAGCTCAGCCACAGCATAATAGGGCACTGGTGAGAGTCATAAGGTACCCCCTCTCTGGGCCCTAGCTCCCAGATGACATTTCTAGGCAACCCTAGGCCAGAAGGAAACTGCTGCCCTGAAGGAAAGGATTCAGTCCTAGCAGTATTCATTACCTGCTAACTGAAGAGCACTTGGGCCCTGAATAGCCAGCAGTGATACCCAGATAATCTGACGGTGGTGGCTACAGAGCAAAACTGCTTCTGTTTGAGAAAATCAGAGGGAAATGCAAAGGGGACTTTATCTTGAATCTTAGGTACCAGCACAGTCACATGGGGGTAGAGCACCGACTGGGCTCTTGTAGTCTCTTATTCCAGGACTGTATGTTTGGATGGCATTTCTGGACATGCCCTGGGCCAAAGGGGAGTCTAGTGCCCTGCAAGGTAAGTCCTAGGCCAGGTAGCACTCACAAAAAACTGACTTAAGAGACCTTGAGCCTTAAGAGAACACATGTGGTAGTCTCACAGTACTCCTTGTACCTAGGGTGATGTGGCTACAGAGTGAGGCTCTTCTGTCTTTAAAAACTGGACAGAAGAGTGGGAAGGATGGTGTGGTTTGAGTGTCAGCTCAGCTGTAATACAATAGAACACCGGGTAGACTTCTAAGGTTTCAGACTCTAGTCCCTGACTCCTGGACTGCACTTCTGGACTCACCCAGGGCCTGGGGGCCCTCAGTGCCCTGAAGGGAAGGACAGAGGCATGACTGGATTTGCCACCTGCTGATTGTAGAGCCCGAGCGCTTTGAGTAAACACAGGCAGTAGCCAGGGGGTGGTTACAGCAGGCCTCGGGCAAGACCCAGTGCTGTGCTGGCTTCAGGTCTGACCCAGCACACTCACAGTGGTGGTAGCTACAGGGGTGCCACTGTCACTCCACCTCCAGCTTCCAGTAACTCATAACACAGAGGGAGACTCTGTATATTTTGGAGAAAGTCATAAAAGAGAACAAGAGTTTCTGATTGGTAATCCAGAGAATCTCCCATATCTGGTCAAAAACCATCAGGGAGGTACTTCGATCTGCAAGAACCACAGTGCTACTGGGCTTGGGATATCCCCTAAAGCAGACACAGCTTAGATTACAAAACACAAGTCCTTTCAAATATCTGGAAAGCCTCCCCAAGAAGGACAGCTACGAATAATCCAAGACAGTGAACACTAGAATAAATACTTAACTCCTTAATGCCCAGACACCAAAGAACGTCTACTAGCATCAACACCATCCAGAAAATCAGGACCTCACCAAGTCAACTAAATAAGGCACCAGGGAGCAATCTTGGAGAAAGAGATATGTGACCTTTCAGATAATTCGAAATAGAGGTATTGAGGAAACTCAAGGAAATTCAAAATAACACAGAGAAGGAATTCAGAATTCTATCCAATAAATTAACAAATAAATGGAAATGATTTAAAAAAATCAAGCAGAAATCCTGAAGCTGAAAAATGCAATTGGCACACTGAAGAATGCATCAGAGTCCTTTAATAGCAGAATGCATAAGCAGAAGAAAGAATTAGTGAGCCCAAAGACAGGCTATTTTAAAATACATAGTCAGAGGAGACAAAGAAAAAAGAACAAAAAACAATGTAGCACACCTTCGAGATCTAGAAAATTGCCTCAAAAGAGCAAATCTAAGAGTCATTGGCCTTAAAAAGGACATAGGTAAAGAGATAGGGGTAGAAAGTTTATTCAAAAGGATAATGACAGAGAACTTCCCAAACCTAGAGAAAGATATCAGTAGCCAAGTACAAGAAGGTTATAGAACACCAAGCAGATTTAATCCTAAGAAAACTACCTCAAGGTATTTAATAATCAAAGTCCCAATTGTCAAGGATAAAGAAAGAACTCTAAAAGCCACAAGAGAAAAGAAACAAATAATATACAATGGAGCTCCTATACGTCTGGCAACAGACTTTTCAGTAGAAACCTTACAGGCCAGGAGAGAGTAGCATGATGTATTTAAAGTGCTTAAGGAAAATAACGTTTACCCCAGAATAATGTATCTGGTGAAAATATCTTTCAAACATGAAGGCATAAAGACTTTCCCAGACAAACAAAAGCTGAGGGATTTCAACAATGCCAGGCCAGTCCTAAAAGAAATGCTAAAGGGAGTACTTCAAACAGAAAGAAAAGGACAGTAATGAGCAATAAATAATCACCTGAAGGTACAAAACTCACTGGTAATAGTAAGTACACAGAAATACACAGAATATTATAACACTTTAACTGTGGTGTGTAAACTACTCTTAAGTAGGAAGACTAAAAAATGAACCAATGAAAAATAATAACTACAACAGCTTTTCAAGACACTGTCAGTACAATAAGACATAAATAGAAGCAATGAAAAGTTAAAAAGCAGGGAGACAAAGTCAATGTATTGAGTTTTTGTTAGTTTTATTTTTGCTTGTTTGTTTATGCAAATAGTGTTAAGTTGTTAGTAGGTTAAAATGATGAGTCATAATATTTGCAAACCTCATGATAAACTCAAACCAAAAAACATACAATAAATACACAGGAAGTAAAAAGCAAGAAACTAAACCATGTCTCCAGACAAAGTTACCTTCAGTAGAGAAAGACAGGAAGGAGAGAAAGAAGGAAGATAAGACCAGAAAACAAGTAATAAATGGCATGAGTAGGTCCTCAATTATCAATAATAACATTAAATTTAAATGGACTAAAATCTCCAATCAAAAGACATAGACAGGCTGCATGAATGAAAAAACATAACCCATTAATCTGCTCCCTGCAAGAAACACACTTTAACTACAAACACACATATAGATGGACTGGGTGTGGTGGGTCACTCCTGTGATCCCAGCACTTTGAAAGGCCAAGGTGGATGGATCACCTGAGGTCAGGAGTTTGAGACCAGTCTGAAAAACCTGGTGAAACCCCATGTCTACTAAAAATACAAATAGTAGTCAGGTGTGATGGCACACACCTGTAATCTCAGCTACTCGGGAGGCTGAGGCAGGAGAATCTCTTGAACTCAAGAGGCAGAGGTTGCAGTGAGCCAAGATCACACCATTGCACTCCACCCTGGGTGACAGAGTGAGACACTGTCTCAAAACACATACACACACACACACACACACACACACACACACAGAGAGAGAGAAAGAGAGAAAATAAAGGGATGGAAAAAGATATTCTATGCCAATGAAAACCAAAAAAGGACAGAAGTCACTAAACTTATATCAGATAAAATAGATTTCAACACAAAATCTGTAAGAGACAAAGAAGGTCACTATTTAATGATAAAGGGATCAATTCAGCAAGATTATATAAACATTTTAAATATATATACACCCAACACTGGAGTACTTAGGCGAATAAAGGAAATATTTTTAGAGATAAAGAGGGAGATAGGACTGAATACAATAATAGCTAGAGACTTTAACATCCCATTTTCAGCTTAGGAAAGATCTTCCAGACAGAAAATCAACAAAGAAACATCAGACTGAATCTTCACTATAGAGTAAGTTGATCTAATAGATATTTACAGAACATTTCAGCCAAAAGCTGCAGAATACACATTCTTTTCCCTAGAAAATGTAGCATTCTCAAGAATAAAATATATGTAAAACAAAAAAGTATTAAAACATGAAATAAATTGAAATAATATCAAGCATCTTCTGTTACCACAATGGAATAAAACTAAAAACTAATAAGAATAGGAATTTTGGAAACTATACAACATGAGAATTAAACAATACACTCCTGGGTGACCAGTGGTCAAG